TATTTTTTTAAAATTTTGAAAGATTTTTAAGTGTTACAATTTTATTGTTGAGTATAGACTTCCGGCACCATATAATATTAAAAGTATATATAGTAGATCAAATTCATTATAGAAAAAAATAACTATTAGTTGCTATATATAATTTGATCAGTTCTTTCTAAAATATGTAAACTCTTAGATTCTTTTAATTATTTTTTTTTTCTTATTTTTTTATTCATATCACTTTATTTTTATTTTTTTATTTATTAATAAATCATTTGAATTAATTCATAATACTGTATAAATTTTTGAATAATGATCAACATTTGATTCAAATTACTAAGATATGAATATATTTTACATTATATAAAAGAATTATTAACATTAATCTAATTTATATACATTTAAATATTATATTAAACTACCATATCATTCTGAAAATAAGCAATCTGTGATATATTCCTTTTATAGTAATTATTTTATTTATCATGCTTATTTTATTATATTATTTATTACATATTATTAATAAATATTTATTTGTCACTTGTTACTTATTTTCAGAATGATACAATATTATAACTTATAAATATTATACATTAATATTATTTTATTTTAAATATAATAATTCTGTATATATGATTTTTTTTTAAAAAATAATTCTTTATAAAAAATAAAAAAATATATAGTAATATAGAATTATATAAAATATATAAAACTTATTTAAATACTGAAAAAATATATACAAATTTATAGTATATTAATAAATAATATTATTTAATTAGTTTGTAGATTTAATTTGCTAATTTATTATTATAATTAAACTTATTTATAATTAAATCTAGTTATAATAAATTAATAAACAAATTACCTTTATATTATTAAACTTTTTATAAACAGATTTTAAAACTATAAATAATAATAATAGATAATCTAACTTTATATTTATTAATAATTATATTTAAGATTTTTTAATAATAAAATATAGAGAATATTTATTTCTTTTCATTTCTTTATATAAAAAATAATATTCTAATTATTTATAAAAAAAAAATTTGCTAATTAACTTAATAAATATTTATAAATATTTATTAAAATCTTGATACTTAATAGTAATGATTCTACTTTTATTAAAAGTTTTATTAGTTTTTAGACACTACTTATTATCAATTAAATCTATATAAAATAAATGTTTTTTTTTAGATTAATCTAATATTAATGATATATTTAACTATTAAAATTGTATTAATATATATTTCTTAACAATAAACTTTAAATATTTATTAAATTTTATAGATTTAACAAAAATTAAAAAATTTCTAAATAAACTATATATATATATTATTTTAAATATCTAATAGTTTTCAATTTTAAATTTTAAATTTTAAATAATTATATAAATATATAAATAGAAATTTTATTTAAATAATTAAATTTTAAAAATACATAAAATATAAAAGTTAAAAAAACTTAATAATATAATTTCTTAATTCTTGATTGTATAAAATTTTTGAGACTTGTAATTAATCAATTAAAACGTTTATTGAATCATGCAATAATTTTACAATAGAAGTTTCCATCCAATCAAAATCCGAGTTGATATATTTACAATAGACCGATTTCAGGTTAGATTTACTGACGCGTATAAATTTAATATAAAAGCTTATTTGGGCATGCATTTTTGCACGACGTTAACAAACAAATGACCAAATAAACAGTATGGTTAGAACTTTGTCTTGGCTAAACCAATTCGGAGAAAGGTTTTTTAAATGAATATGATTCTATTTAAACTTAATCAAAGGAGTTGTTTGTCCTTGCGAAAATAATGATAGTTGTAAGTAGCTTACGTAACGTGAATATGGTATCACTTTCAAAAGAAATAATGTTTAGTGTATTGGGGTGTATGACACAATTCAATCAAATGCGAGACCTTGTCATATGCTGCAAGCCATGTTCAAAAAGGTATTTTTTTTTGATTTTGAACGTTACAAAAAAGACCATAAACAGGTTTCCGATTGAGTTATTGAAATAATTCTTAGAGTAGCATGATCACCCCCCTAAAACCGTGTAATTTGGGAATCACCGCGAATTCGTGACGATTCGCGTATCTTAATTAATAAACGGGAAATTATAAAACCTTGATTAATTCTTGGCACACAACAGATAACCTTTGACACTAACTAATGTTTCTTGCCAAGCCTTAAAAATAACTAACTGGAAATTGACATAATTTCCAGTTGAACAAGTTATTGATCGGTGCTGCGCGCGTAAAGTTTGAGAGCTTTTGTCTTGATGAAAATCCATGAAGCAATTATATATTCGAAAACATGCTGCGCCACGTACAATTGTTGCCAAGAAATCGAAAATCTGCACCGTCAAAACTTTGACCTTTTATAGAACGGTAATCACGTGAAATTGCTTGGCATAATATAAAATCATTTTAATCATTCTTTTCAACTGTCCCTTTTGATTGATTCAAAATTTATATTGAATTTTACACAAGAATTAGAATTTCCTTAATAGTTTTAAACTTGGTAGGAAAAAAAAAATAATTGCACTAATAAAAATGGTAATCTTGGCGTTTAGATACACTATTTCTTTTATGCTTGGCAAATTGATTAGTCAATGCTATTTAGACATTTATCAGAATCATGTGATGCCAAGAAAGTTTATAAGAAAGTGTATTTACTAATTTCGTCAGAAAAAAAATTTTTTTTTTTACTTTGAAAAAGACGTGGATTTATCCTTTTTTTAAAAAAAATATAAAATAAACCTTAAAAACTAGACGAACATTCGGTAGAACGTGATATAAATGGTTATATAAAGTATCTAGTGCTTATACAACTACTACCATTGTGCATAATAATATTTTCACTTCCCGTTAAAGAAAAAAAAAATTTTTTTTTCTTCTTCTTTCTATTATCTTCAAATTTTCATTAATAAAATATACAAAACCATGCCAACATCATCACAATTCGTTTTTATATCTTCAACACCGACTATAATACCTTCGATCATCTTTAGCGTCCTTTTTCTATTTACAACATGTCTTCAACTTCACCGTATAATACAAACCCGGCGTCGAGTTTACATCTTTTTATTCATGTTCAGTCTTTTAAGGACAATATTATTTATTATACGAATCATGTGGTCGAAAAACACTCAAAACAAAGTACTTGCAATCAGTTCAGGAATTTTAATTTCCAGCGCATTTTTCATAATAGTTTTGGCAGTATACAACCTTTTAATAGATTGGGTTCTCATTACCACAAACGTCTCACAGATAACAACCGATCATTCAAGTTCGCAATTACATTCAACAAAGTTAACATTCTATGAGCGATACTCCATAAACATAGTAAAGTTTCTTCTCCCGGCATTTTCATTACTCGCTGTAATTGGATCAATTAAAGAATTCGATTCAAATACATTGGTGTCTCTGAACCATTCATTGGCTAAAGGCGACATCTTGATAAAAATTTCAACGATATGTTTTTTGACCAGCATGGTTTTTTATATGATTCTTATCACATATTTCGCATTGAAATATAGCAATAAACCTATACAATCACAATTAAAAGTTTTGGTTTTATATATAGTTGGAGCTTTATTATTGATTGGACTAATTTACAGAACTTTTATGATTTTCGCTCCATCTACCGATAAAATCAATAAAATCAATAAATACAGTTGGATCTTTTATGTGTTCGAGTCTCTTCCGGAGGTTTTGATTTTGATAATCTTGGGTGGCGTTATTTTGGGTGAATGGTTTTTTGAGGACGACAATATAGACTTGACAAACATTAAAACCGTGTCGATTGGTTCAGTCAATAGGGTGAATGCAACCTCAAATGTTTGATTACAAATCACGAAAGAACGTTTATTAACGTTGAAATTGTTAAATATTTACATAATGAACAATTAATTACATACATTACTGGCGAATGTTGTAGAAATACCTAACTTAATATAGTAATGCGCCTTTAGGAGGTGCTTTCTTGAACGATATTCTGCAAATGGAATAATAATACATTTTTTTTTTTTTTTTTTTTTTTGTAAATTTTTAATAATTTGTAACAATTTCATTATCATGTAACAAAAAATTTTCACATCCCATTCTTTTACATGTAATAAAAAAAAAACCAAGAACCAAAAGTATATGAATTAATTCATTACATATTTTATACTAGTAATCATTTTCTTTTGTTCAAACATTCTAGTTCAATTTTAAAATGTCAATTATAAATCTTTTTATCCGAGGTGGGATGTGTACTGCGCCATGATTCTGTTGTTGTATTACATCATTTAGAAGTTATTAAATCATATTGGACTAAATTGGTGTTGGTTCACGTTATCGATATCCTCAAGTATATATAATATTCATGTCGCCATTCAAGTTGTTCCTTGTTGAATCTTCTTTCAGCGAAGGTAATGACAATTTATTATTTTTGTAAAAAAAAAAAGAAAAAAACAAAAAAAGTTGTCAACCATATAACATAATAATTTATTAATATCAAAATATTCCAGAGCAAACAGTTTTTTGTCTTTGAAATAAACTATATTTCCGCATATTATCAAATTAAAGAAATTTATTTGAAGTTTGTATTGAATTATCTATTTTTCTGGAGTAACCTTCTAAACTAATCTTTTTTGATTCTTTATATTATTTAGATGTCCAATCAAGAAGCGTATCCTTCAACCCCATCGCCACAAGGTACACCAGATCCACCAGCTCCACCACCAACTCCTGCTACTCCATCATCAGCATTACCTGAAAAATTCACGCTTATAGAACGAAAAGGAGATTTGTTTGTTGATGCACCATCAACTGATGCATTAGCTCATTGCGTCTCTCAAGATCTTCGAATGGGTAAAGGCATCGCAGATATTTTTAAGAAAAAATTCAATGGAGTAGAAGAGTTAAAGGCTCAAAAACGTGTCGTTGGTCAAGTTGCTTATCTTCAACGCGATGATCGTTATATCTTTTATGTGATTACTAAATCTGGTGTTTATGACAAACCTACTCAAAAAGATTTTGAAACTAGTTTAATTGAATTGAGAAGAATGTGTGAAAAATTTGGTGTAAATGGGTTAAGTATTCCTAGAATTGGAACGGGATTGGATGGGTTGTCTTTAGATTTTGTAAAAGATTCTATTAACAAAGCTTTTGAAGGAAGTAGTGTCAAAGTTACTATGTTTTATCTGTAAAATGATTTTAATTTTTGCGGGTATATAACCTGGTTGTAACCAAATAATTTCTTTTTGATGATCATCATTTGTTAACATGAAAAAAAAAAAATTTGAAATAGTTTGATTAATAATTTTTGTTACGAATAAAACGTATATTGAGAATGAATTCCTTCTATTCTATTACATTAATATACATTGTATCTAATCTAATTATAATCTCCAAAGTTATATAACTAATAATCTTCGTATTCCCAATGTTCAGCATCATAATTCTCGACGAGTTGAGGATCATCCTTATATTCTCTTTGCCATTCGCTAAATCCACCTTGTAATACTTGAACCTTTTGATCTTTGTTCGTTGTATTTTCTTTATATATTCTTGCACATTTTGGACCACGAACTTGAGATAAAGCGCATGTGAAAATTATCCTAGGTACTAAATGTGACATGAAAAAAAAAAAATAAAGATGAAATTTTAAGGTAAAATCGATGTTAATTAAAAAAAAAATTCTTTGAAAGATTTACCTTGACTGTGCTTGAAAACAAGAGCGGTAATATGATCATTTATTTTGTGAGAAGGTTTGTTAATGCTGTTTGGTATGTTACCTCCCTATTTGGCAATGTTCCATTATTTGTAATTATATTTTTAGCGAATTTTGATGATAAAAATTATTAAGGTTATTTACCTCGTAATCATCATCTCTAACATCAACCACAAGGTAATCTTTCCCAGGAATTTGTGTGGTATCTTTCATAATTCGGGCGAGTTCAGATTGTTTGATATATTCGATCGATGAAATATTAATTTGACCTGACATTTTTCTTCGTTGTAATAAAAATTGGTAATATTCAAATGAATAAAAATGTTCTAATAATAGTGAATGACGCCAAATTGTTTGATCTGAAGTAATTTTTGAATTGAAGGTGCAAACCCGATGAGAAAAAAATCTAAAAAAAGTCAAAAACATAATTCTATATTAAAAAAAAAAAAAAAAGATATTTGTGGAATTTGGTTGGCTGATGATTTCGATCTACTTTTTAAAAAAATAATCCATTTTTCGGATTAACTACTTTTAGAGTTACAAATAATTTATTAAATTAATATTTATTTATTTTTGCTAAAAAATTTTTAATAATATTTAATTTTTAAAAAATTAAGAACATAAATATTTTATGCTTTATATCTAATATTTATTAAAAAATTAAATTATAAAGGTTATCTATATAATAAAAACTTTTATAACCAAATTTAATATATAAAAATTTATATTTAATTATAAAATAAGTAAATTTTTATCATTAAATTCAAATTTTGTTTTATTAAATAAAAATAATATATAATATATAAATAAATAAAATAAGTAAAAAAAAAAAATGAATTTTAATTACAATTAAAATAAGTTAAAATTAAAAATATTTATCTCTTTTAATAGTTTTGCCTATAAATTTATATGCAATATTATTTAATAATTTTAAATATTATCAGTTTAAAGATTATTATCAAATTGTTAAAAAAATGTAAGAGACTTTTAAAAAGATCAGATATAAATAGTGGGTTACCACCATTTAATATAATTATATTAAATGGTGCTATCCCACTTGTCCTAGATTATATTACCACTATATAATCTGGATACCATCATATAATCTAATTACCATCGTATAATCTGATTACCACCATATAATCTGATTACCACCATATAATCTAATTATCACCATATAATCTGGGTACCACTATATAATCTAATTACTATCATATAATCTGGATGTCATCATATGATCTAAATAATATAATCTAATTACTACTATATAATCTAAATAATATAATCTAATTATCACCATATAATCTATTTATTTTCGCATATCAGATATCTTTTTTATGCTCTAACTATCCTTTAAATATTTCTTGCTATCTGTATTTTTTACCACAATATAATCTAACTACTACTTACCATTTAACCTAATTATCACTATATAATTTAAATATCACGCTTTTCTTCTTATTTCTGAGTCATTAATATACTAAATTCTATAATAGGATTGTTAACCTTCTGTAGTTGTTTAGATACCTGATTTTATATTAAAGTGCTGACCTTTTGCATCTGATTGGGTGCTGGATTCTATTTGAAGTACTTACCCTTTGCACCTATAGAGGTGCAATCCGTTCATTCAAAATCTGGTCATCCGATCAAAATTCAGATTAAATTACAGTATGGATATGATTATTTTTGATCAAATAATATACAGATTTAAAAACTTTGAACGGATTTTCACCAAATTATCCGTATAATCTATTGATCTGATAAATAGTAATATATATGCTATAGTACCGACTGTACCGTATATAAAGTTGTAGGCGAAACCAAAATCTTAAGGTCGAAATGTTTCGGCTTTCAAGAACGAAAATCTGAAACTTTCCGATAATCCGAAACTAAGACAAAACTGGCGAAACTAGACGATATTTGGCGAAACTGGACTTTACTAGCGAAACCTTCCAAAACTAGTTAGCCAATCAAAATAAATGCTGATTT